TTTCTGTAGAAGAATTACATTCATGTAGATCATACATGTATATTGATGAGTAAATTAGATTTTTTTTTTCATTTTTGGGTAAAATATGGCTTTAAAATATGGTACTTTTTATTATTGCCTATATTTACTAGTATTTATATGTGATTGTGTTTATTAGCTTTTGAATTAGCTTTTATTTTAAGTTATTTTCATCCAATATGTTATTTTAATTAATGAAATAATATATTTCAATCAATAAACTTGGTTTTAGTTAACAACAGTGTTTTACATTACACTATATGGTCAGTTTAACATTCTTCAAAATGTCTCATTTTGTACTAAGGTTTGGAAGAACATGAGGGTAAGTAAATGATGAAGACATTTTATTTTGGGGTAAAATTTTGAAAGCTGATGACATTTGTAGAATTGGTTTAGTACGATTGCCGTATTCATAAGACCCATGCAAAGAAAAGACAGCCCCTCAATCTTCTCAAAGGTCAAAGAGCCACAGTCCAACCTGTCATAAATATCACACACGAGCCGAATCGTGCGAAGTCAACAATCAGGATGAGCATCGAGGCGTATTCAGTGGCGGTTTTGGTCTGTTTTTCTCATAAATGCACCCACACTCGCCCACTCACACAGACACAGATCAAGTGTAGACGGTCGGCATGTTCAGACCAGATATGGACATTGTTACACTTCTACGGCTGATGTAAATATGCGCAAGCCGAGCTCAGAAAACCTGATGCTAGCAACAGATGGAATGCAGCTCGTAATTTCCCAGGCACATCTATCTGAGATGTGTGTCATGCAGCTGCTACCGCGGTGTCAAGAAAAACAGCATCTGGGTGTGTGTACGTGTGAGCGAATGAGTGATCGAGAGAGAGAAGCGCCTGAGCCACTGAATGATTGAACTGACAGTATCGAGAGCATGACACAGTGGCAAATCCCAGAAGTTTTAAATCATTTGCCGTTAAGTGCCAGAGATAAATAAGCGATTAAGACTCCGGATTCCTTTAGGAGTGTGGCAAAATGGCCCACACCGCTCGATTCGCTCGCCACCAGATGCCAAGCGGCACTTCCTGTCAGCGGACGAGAGGGGAGACCTCTGGGAATCGCATTTCCATGACAGCAAACTACAAGTGTGCAAATTTGCATCGCTGACAAGCCAAATGCTCCATGGGATGTGGCAGCTTTCTCCTCAATTAAACGCTTTGTCATTAGCTTAGATGTAATTGCATTGTGGGTAATTTAAACTAGTCGTTTGGGAGCACCAGACAACAAGTAATGGTGATCTACAGTCAATGTTGTTATTGTCAGTGAAAGTATAAATGTTTGTTGATGAAATATTCTTTTGGGTTTGTCTATAATAATTTAAACCAAATAGACAATTTTTTCCCATGCTTTTTTTGCATGCTTCCACCAAGACTGCTATTTATTTATTTATTTATTTTTTTTTTAATAAAAATGTAGTAAAACCCGGTAATATTGTGAAATATATTATTAACATTTTTTTTAAATAACATTTTATCCTAATATGTTTTATTTTATGTATTTCTAATTTATTTCTGTGATGTCAAAGCTGAATTTTCAGCATTACTCCAGTCTTCAGTGTCCCATGATCTTTCCAAAACCAATGGCACTGACATATTTTAATAAATGTCAGTTCAAATTACTTTCAGGCATGCATGTTGGTCTGGGACTGGTATAAGACTTGTTTTTGAAACGAGGGATAATTGTGAACCATTTAACACTAACTTTAAATTCTTGCCTGCATTTCTTGCCATTAACAAAAGAACCTTGTGTTAAATGTTTCTTTACTCTTTTATTTAATATTTTTCAATATATTTATTTTATTCCATTTGTGCATCGCATTAGCCTGGCTAACGCCAGACCCAATTCTCATTGAGACTTGGGTCTGGGAACCACATGTACATTTTCTCGTATTTGAGATGTGGTTTACGAATGCCCGGCGCCGTTTATTGGGTGCTAAGATTGTCTATCAAATGCGCCTGTACGTAGCTCATAGCCAATCATTTCAATTAGAAAAACACAAGTATTAAGTACAGATGTTAAAGTTGTTATTTGCATTGGAAATTGTTTGTACTTGTACTTCACAAGTTTAAAATTTTTAACAATTTAATTTAATGACTAAAGTGTCAACAACTTTAATCGGGTACGTGTGCACAGCTGAAAGTTATGCTACTAAAGCGGTAGCTGTATATTGATATTGAAAAGCAACACAACTTAGTGGCACTGTGACAACCACAGTAGGTAGTCTACAGGCATAATGACGATATGATATTAATAAATACCACATACCATTTATAAGTTAAAAGGACTTCGTCAACGACGATACCTAGCAGGTTGGTAACGTTACTATACAACTCCGTGGCTAACACGTCTTGCCATTTTGCGCTCATCCAGGCCTCGGGACTGCCGAACAGAAGTTGGTATCAACAATTCTTTATCGCATTTTCTTTCTCGGGACACAACTGAGCGGCAGATATTCCAAGGTTGACCGCCTCCTGTTCCTGGTCCTCCATTAAGGCGACTAATGGCGAGACAACAATAACGACTGGGGTCTTGCGAAGTTTAACGCCAAAAGCTGCTGTTTTTTTCAAAATAAACTTGCATTCTAAACTACTTAGAACAATATCTAAGGCTGCATCAAAAGGTAGCTTCGCGTCTGCAGCCATGTTGAATCCATCGAAATAAACAAACTGCTTCGGTGTGTCGAATAGATGTCGTCATCGTCTTGCTGCTCCCTTCCTGTTCTGTGATTCCCTAAATGAGGCGAAAATCTGGACCATGGTATCCATACTGCCTTTCAGCGTGAATAAAATCGCACAGCATGGGGAAACCCAGACTAGCATCGCATTGGTATTTGTTTACTGTTATAATGAGGTATATCCACATATGTCTCCAGGCTGTCCTCTATGGCACACGAGGCAGCTGAAGACAGATGCTGGTGAGGCAGAAGCCTCCTGCTGTTCATCTGAAACCCTCCGTCACTGACACTGGAAAACACTCTCCTGAAGCCAAGAGGGTTCTTCAAACCCAAGGGCTTCCAAAAAACACATTTCACAGTACGCCATTGTTTAGGAAAACCGTTTTTCTCTGCGTTCCGGTCTCTCCCCCAACTAGAAAAGTTGTTTAGCGATTTGAAACATTTGTAAATGCGTGCCTGCTTTGAAAATCATCATCATTACAAGACATACAACTTCCATTTTTTTTCCCCCCATTCTCCTTGATCTCTGGAAATATCCACAGATGTTCTGTGCCTGGATCTATCCAGGCTAATTTTTGGTTTGCATATGACTGGTTCTGTCTCAATGGCCAATGTGGACTTAATTACTCGTCTGGATCCCGATGTTCACAGAATACAAAGTTTCAGCACTGTTGGTAACTTATACAAATCAAGAGACGTGAATACAGCATGTGTTATGCTTCTGATAACTGGCTGTGAATGGGAACTGACCACCTGTATTTGCCATTAAATAGCCTGGTCAAGCAAACGGAGTCTGTTTGCAGATGCCTCTTTGTTTGATATATTGTTGTCTATGTAATGAAATTAAGTATTTGCAATATTTATAGTAACTGGTGTTGACATGAAATATTTCAATATTTCACAAAAATGTGACACAGAACTCAGTTTAATTTCACTTTGATTTGCGTCTACTCGCCGGCATGCCCTCGCTGTCTTCCGAGGGGTTGTGTTTATCAGCGTTTAGCAGCGGATGCCCTAAGTGTTCAAGCTGGGGAAACTTCTAGAAACATAGTTATGGCGTTGGTGAAACTTCTGAAAACATTTATTAATCAGAGGCTTGTGTTGTAATGGGTGCTAATTCACAAAGTGATGATGCCAGCTGGCTCTTGTCACAGCTGCTCTGAAGAGGTCTGGTTATTTCAGTCAACTACTGGCACCAGTACTGATAAAAATCATGAACACTGTCTATTTTTGTTCTTCTGGATCTAATAAATGTTTTATGCCTGTATCAGATATTCTTAATCAGTTGGAGCTTTTATTTTATTACTCATTGTATAAACGAGAATGCACAATTATCCAATATGTTATATTTACTTTTCCCTTCAACTAACACTTTCTTAAAGGGATACTCTACCATTTTTTTCATATTAAACTATGTTATTCCCTTAACTAAGACGAGTTGATAAATACCTCTCTCGTCTCAGTCCGTGCGCTCAATCGCTCGAGACACTTTGATAGAACTTAACTAGCCCAGTTCATTCAATATGGGCCAAGCAGAGAAGCGACCAAACACCTCCACGTTTTCCCTATTTAAACACATATACTCGAGCAGTGTAACTCAACCTAGGACGGTGACACAAAATAAAACGTTGAGCTTTTCTAAGCGTGTAAAATGGATAACTATATTGTATGGAGGAATACCACACCATTTGGGAGCACTTCGACTCTATTATATTATTACTGATATTACTGCGCCAAGTCCATCGTTATATTTGCGCCGAGTCAAAGTGCTCCCAAGTGGGTGTGGCATTCCACCACACAATATAGTTATCCACTTTACACGCTTAGAAAAACACAACGTTTTATTTAGTGTCATCGTTCTAGGTTGAGTTACTATACTCGTGTAACTGTATTTAAAGAGGGAAAACGTGGAGGTGTTTGGTCGCTTCTCTGCTTGGCCCATATTGCATGAACTGGGCTAGTTAAGTGCTATCAAAGTTTCTCGCGCCAGAGCGATTGAGTGGAAACACAGAGACGAGAGAAGTATGCATCAACTCCTCTTAGTTAAGGGAATAACATAGCAGCAATGTAGTCTTGCAATTTAAAAAAAAAAGATAACCTGTTGTACAGTATATATTGAGCATTTATCATAATGATGATGTAAATCCACTTGTACCATATGATAAATTGAAAAATCGACTAGTTTCCATTCTTTTAACAAATTGCAACATCTTTCCTTTCTCTGCAAGCCAATGAGTATTTATAGATGCATATCTTCTAATTCTATATTCTGAATTTGTTTCTGCAGACACATTGAGAACTGGTCAGGCTTGCAGGAGTTGAGGGGCGTTGACATGGAGTTGTACACTGGGCTTCAGAGACTGTGAGTACCACATTGCAACCACATCTTTTTGATCTGACATCTGCGGGAACGTATTGCTAGCGATGGCATTCTAGCATGGGCGAGCTTCACAGTGGCTTTTTCTAGCCAGCCCCACATAAAAAGTGTTTCCCCAAGGCCTGCTTTAAAATGATCAAATAATGCTGCTGAAGTAGCCAGAAAATTTAATTACATCCCCCAACACCCTCCATCTGGTCAAGACTTGCTTTACCTCATTCAGTCTGCTACGGTTGACGCACATATCTTTACTTGGCTCTTCATAAGTAGGGCTTCCTCCCTCACAAGAGCCACTCAAACCTCCTCTTCCTTCCTATTACAGCTCTACTTGTAAATGGTGACCAGGAGAAATGATTAATAAGGTTCTCATTAGCAGTTAACTGTAACCCGCACTATTAAGGTGACGTGGCAGAACCTCTGGTCTGGGATAGGAGGGATTTATTTGAGCTGAGAAGATTCTTTTTTTTTTTCCTCCCCCACAGTGAATCACTCTAGCCTTTTAGCGTGTCAATTTATGTCGGAGTCCACAACATGAGTCACACGTTGGGGCTTGTTTTTAACAAATAATATTTAAAATGCATGAGTAGCTAGGCTACTTTTAGGACTTCTTCTCATTGAGGCAAGAAGTCAGTCTCTGATATTTCAGATGCTCTATTGGTCAAAAAGTATTTTTTTTTCTCGTTGTTTAAATCTGCAGGCTAATATTTGAAACTTGAAATTTGGTATGAGCATGAAATGTGCATATGCTTGCATTCTTACTCATTTTACAACTCCTCCAGAGTTAAACAGTTGAGTTTTACCGTTTTCGAATCAATTTTCTGATATTTAGAAAAATATAAGTAACCTGACAGTTTCTGGTCTCATTGACTTCTATAGTAGGAAAAAAAATATTATGGAAGTCAATGAGACCAGAAACTGTCTGTATACTGACATTCTTCTAAATATCAGAAAATCGGCTGAATTGATCCGAAAACGGTAAAACTCAACTGTTTAACTCTGGGGGAGTTGTAAAATGAGCCTATTTCCCCTATTTTAGTATCCCTTTAAATCATACAACAAAACAACAGAAAACATTAAGCATTGTGACAAAACAACCAACAAACGAAAATAAATGTATAACAAGACTGTAGGGCAAAGCAGATCTCATTACACCACCTAAACAGAGAAATAACCACACATCTAGTATATGATGTTATTTTGCCAACATCTAGGTTGTGTGTGGTTGTATATTGATGTGAACTGTTAATTGGTATACATGCACTTCAGCAGTCCTTTCAAAATAAAACTCATAGGTCACAGGCTATCTGTGACAGTAGGCTACAAAATCTACTTCAAAATCCCAGCGCTGTCGTCATCGTGTAAACCCGCCCCAACGTTTCTCATTGGTGCCTCGATTTCGACGGATTGGAAATAGGCTTGAATGAGCTCTTTGCCAGACTAACTTTCAGAGCAATTCTAAATTTGTTGAAAGTTTCTGGGTTTTCCCAGACTAGGTAGCAGTAATTAATGAAGTGACATAGAAGATTAATTTTGCTTAGCGATCTTGCGTCTTAGTCACCTTCCTCAGAATCAGTCTAGTCTGATCTGAGACATCCATTTGGGCCACCATTCCATTCGTGATTCAAAATTAGCAGTTGATAATCATCCATATTAAGCATTATGTTCATCGAGCTTAAGTCTCCAACCTCATGCAAAAAGAAATACTTTGCTGCAATTGGTCCCGCAAAAGCCCCTAATAACAAGAGCTGAGAATGCTTTGCGCAAATAAACATCTCACAAATGCCAATGAAAAAAAAATGTATCCAATATACATAATTGATTCCAGCTGCCAGCATAAATAACACCAGAAGCAAGGATGCAGGCTCTTGATGATTTTCTGCCCTTAATGATGTTACTTGAGGAGAGGAGACAGATTGGAAGCAAGGATTAGATGATGGGTTTTTTTTTTTCCTTTTACATCCACATTTCCCCTTTTGACACTGCTGCGAGACGGCTAGACAATTAGCAGCCCGTTTAGCCCCTAGCTGCTGTCAGATCCATTTAAAATGAAGAACGTGAACTGGTCTTTCACTCTTCTTTTACTAGCTCACCTCCTCTTAGACCTGATTTGTGCATCATATTTTTTGTGCAATATATCTTAGGCTAATCAGAGCAACTCACTGCAGCATTTGACATTAGCATAACCTAATTGTCCTTTGCCGCAGGTTGTTAATGTCTTTTTGTAGCACAAGTAAAATTACAGTTTCCAAAGATACCATCACATATCTTGCACTCGTTTTACACATTTGTCATAACAAAAATTTTCTCGAAGCTAAGCGTGTGCATGGCTGCACACTTTTGATGTTGCTCCCATACAGATGAAAAAATTGTTGTGTAGGAAAATCTAGAATCAGAGATAAATTAGTGATTTTCCGTTTTATATATATATATATATATATATATATATATATATAAAGTTGGTTTTAATGAGGGTATTTTGTGAAGGCAACATAGCCATATGAGCTGTGCGTGTAAACCTCACTCCCCTGGCCTCAAGACGCACGCTATGTTAGCATCTTTAGCAAGAAGTTAGCATCTTTAGCAAGAAGCATCTTTGTTAGCGCGCCCTTCAGAGGCCACACCGGACACCTCGGTTCGAATCCCGCTCAAAGCAGGTCGAGTAGGACCGGTAATACTTGCATACATTCTTTATATTAATTAAATATAATTCAAATGTAAACAAAATTGAATAATCATTACAAAAAGTGGCTTTAGAAGGCAATATATTGTTTTATTTCCATGTGATTAAGCCGGGTGTCTTTTAAAGACTATTTTTTCAGTATTTTGCATTTAAAAGTTCATCAACTTTGAAAATATGCCCAGCAAGAAATAAATGGTCAAAATAGTTGGGAAACTACTAATGCCTGTTTGTTTGTCCTTTCCATTTCAGGACCATTGCGAACTGCAACTTACATGTGATTCAGCCACGAGCCTTCGCTCAGAACCCAAACCTGCACTACATGTGAGTCCTGTGTACTAGAATGTTCTCACACCCTTTGACTAAACAGCTCATTTGAAAGTCAATTGTTTGTTCCTCGAGACTCGCACTGTTGGAGATGGATCGGGAAGTTGGGTTCACTCGTTCATCTACACCACGCAATAGATCTTCTTAAGTAGGCCATGTTTAGCAAATTGGGACAATGCATTTTCCATCTTTGGCTACTCTCACGGTATCATGGCTGCTCTTAATCGAGAGATGCCTCGGCCCCCCCGTGCATAATTTATGATGATAAAGTTCTCCTCAATGAACTGAGCACCACCCGCAGCTATTTCTCAAAAGTGAGCTTTGCGAGTAGGCCAGCAGACACGTACATTGGTTTTAATCTCTAAAGAGCAGCTTTGGAGTGTGCTTGTTAACATATCGTCTTTGTATATAGTCGTTTGATGGTTTTAAAATTGCTTGACCGAAATGAATCCTTTTCGATAATTGGCTTAACAGCCTGTGCCATAAAGCGTTGATGTGTGCCTCTTGAAATTCTCTGTGTTAGATTGCACGTTCACTTCCTCGTTCCGACAGTCTGCAAAGACCCTCTGTTGTGTGCTCTAAATAAACAAAGTTTGTTTGAGGTAGAGCTACCTGAGTTGTGGGAAAGAAGATGGTGGAGAATGTGGGCAGAGAGAGAGAGAGATGATTTACTTAATGAAGGCTGAATTGGACGAGTGTGACAGGACTGTTATTTCCCAATTTCCTGCAGTGAGCGGTGGAAAGGACGTGGAATCACACAGTCACCTCCAGACAATTTGTGCTGTCCATCACAAATGAAAATGCACTTCTTTTTTTTCTCTGTCATAAACCGACGCCTATGCGGTTTTGTGTTGGTGAGCGCTCCCGGTGAATGTCTTCTGTATACAATGTTCAGGTATTTGTCACTATTTCCATTGGAAGCACTTCAGTAGGGGGTGTGATTTATAATTTTTTACTTGTCAAGCTTTTCACTGTAAAAAATATTTTCAAGATTTGTTATCACAACATTTTTTCTTTTGTCAAATCAACTTAAATAATTTGTTTAGTTCAGATAACTTATTATTTTGAGTTTCTGATGGTTAAATCAATCTCCTTCATTGTATTAACTCACTTTTTCCAGTGCAATCAACTTAAAATTTTACGGCAACCAGGATACTTAATTTTTTAAGTTAAACCAACAATATATATTTTTTTTAAACTAGGTACGACCTGGACAGTAGCAGTCTATACCAGATCAAACTATGTGTAGACTTAGGAAGCGATGCGCTCATTTTTTCCAAGCGCGTCCACACCGCATTGAGATAAAAACATCTCAACTTTTCAGAATGTGCCCTAGCGCTTTGGAAAACGGAGAATGCGGCGCGCACACTGTTTTCTACACGTTTTTAGGCGCTATATGTGAATCTGGCCTAAAGTAACTATTAGGGGAAAAATTGTTAGTTGTGGAAGAAATGAGGAACAAACTGGTGTACATCAGTTGGATATTTTTTTAAGAGTTTTAGGTTGATTTCAATTTCAATTTACGTTTTTATTATGGATTTTCATAGTTTAGGATTGAAATTATGTATTTCAAACAAGGGAAAAAATATATATTCTCACTGTAAAAAAATATTGTTGGTTTAACTTAAAAAAGTAAGTAATCTGGTTGCCTTCAAATTTTAAGTTGATTGAACTGGAAAAAGTGAGTTAATACATTAGAGATTAATTTAATCATCGGAAACTCAAAATAATAAGTTATCTCAACTAAATAAATTATTTAAGTTGATTTGACAAAAGAAAGTCTTGAAAATATTTTTTTTTTACAGAGAAAAAAGACATAATTTGGGCTAATGAAGCTTTTGGGAAACACAGTCCTGTTTAGTTTAACCTATTAAATACTTGGTGACCTTACAATGGTGACCAAGACAACAGATATCAGTGTGTTTTTCCCTTGAGAACACAATGTGTGTGTGAGTCAGCAGGCCGGCAGATAAGTACAGTAATGCCAGTGTTTCTTTTTGGGCCCTTTTTTATTCTCCATCCCGTGTGAGGTCTTCAAAGAGCTGACTTTTATGAGCGAAAAAAATCCCAGAGATTTCCGGACATGCCATTCACAAACACACACAAGGTCAGCGCCCGGGAATAAAGCAGCAGTGTTCTGATCCGTTTCCCATTTCTGTTTTATGACCCAAACATTTGACATAGATAATTCATACATCACTGTTCTCACAGGGAACTTTTTTGTTTACATCAAAATATGCTGAAAACGGCATTAGTACACTGTTGTGTAATTGCATGAGATTAGACTTATTTCAGAGAATATATATTGTATCTTACCTCACTGACAGTTTTTCAGTTTTTAGTGAATCAAGTAATTATATATTGATGAAAGATTAGAAAACTTTTTTTTTATTATTTTGGTGAATCGAACAAGACAAAACGCAAGAACATTGTGAATTTTCATTGTCTTATTTTTTCAGAATTTTTGGTATCCTCTTGTTTTGGAGACTCATCAAGCTTTGTGACCCTTGCAGTAAGAGTTTTGGTGTCAAGGGGCCTGTTTCCTTGTGTTTATTTATTGTTTTCATACCCCAAACGGCAAAAGAAATTTGTTTTCAGCAGCTTTATAGATAAAAGACAAAGAAATCAATACGAGGGCCCATTGCTTTGGTCGGCCTGCTTTTTGAGGAGGGGCATTTGCTTTCATGTGTCTACTGGCCATGTGTGGCGAAATGAAAGGTTTCCTTCTGGATTTCTACAAGAGCATTTTTTTTCTTTGGACGATGGAGTGGGGACTCAAGGTATCCTGTAAAGGTTATTTCCATGAGGGACAGCAGAGAGTAACTCATTAAAACCTCCCAGTCTCTCAAGGCACCACCTTGCAAGAAAATGTCACGTTTTCTTGAAAAATCTCCACAATTATAGGGCTGTCAAACGATTAATCGCGATTAATCACATCCAAAATAAAAGTTTGTGTTTACATAATATATGTAGGTGCACTGTGCATAATTATTTTATTTATATAAATACACACACATGCTTGTATATATTTAAGAAATATTTTCATGTCTATACTGTATATAGATTTATATACAATTTATATTATTAAATATATTATATATAAATAATATTTTTTTCTTAAATATAAATGCATGTGTGTGTATTTACATATATAAAATAATTATACACAGTGCACCCACATATTATGTAAACACAAACTTTTATTTTGGATACGATTAATCGCGATTAATCGTTTGACAGCCCTACACAATAATTGAAACATTTATTTCATCAAGTATGAAAGATTCTCGATTATAGCAAAAATCATAATCCCGATTGTTTTCGATCAATATTGAAATCATGATTATTTAATGTGATTGGTGTATTGGTATATGATCAAAGACTTATTTCACAATTTGACTTATTTTAAATATACCGGTAAGTGAATTTTCACAATTATAGATACTTCAGCAAAAACTTCTTATACAAGGTTAGCTAATGTAAGACAAACATTTACATAAGCCAATTATGATTAATCAAACAGTAATATAAAAAAATATGAAAATTGTAAATACCGTAAAATAAAAGGCTAATGCCAACTAAGCTGAAATATGAACTACTTTTAGAAGTTCAAGACAATCCGTCAGACAATCCAACTAATATTTTGTTGGGTTTTTTTTTGCGTAGTTTTGTTTTGCTTTGGTTTTGTTTAGAGTTTAATGTTATTTAGGAGGATAACACTGACTTCGGTGGTCGTCTCTTTTTCTTAATTCATACATTATCAAACTTTCTCTTGAATTTTCTCTTTGTCATTCTCTTGCGCCCTCTCTCAGTCTTCGTCCTTCTCTGAAACCCCTTTCTCATAGACGCCCCCCTCTTTTCTCTCTCTTTTTACTTTTTTCTGGCCTTTGCATACAAACTCAGTTTTTTTTCATCTTCCTCCATCATTCTCTCTGGCCCCATCCATCTATCTCTTTGTTTCTGGGATGACATTATTTATTATTCATGCCACCGTTGATGTGGCTGCTGTTTTATTCCCTTCGCAACGGGAGGAGCGCGCTAAAACAGCTTACATCTTTTCCTTCTCTGTGAAAGAACTCCAAAATGAGCCTTTGACTTTGTGGTTAGTCAGTCAGCCATGTCCCCCTCTCTGAAATTTGATAGGATGCTCATCAGTAAAGGAGAGATGCTCCATTGTCTCTGCAGGCTCTGAAGGCCCCTGAGCTCCAATGAGAGCTTTATTTGGCTTGATGAAAGTTGAGTGCTTTGAGAAAACACATTAAATGTGTCGACGCGTCCTCTTCGCTCGTTGAAATATGAATTGGATATTAATGATAATGCCTGCTGGTGATTTCGATGAGCTTTATGAAATGTTGACATCAGAGCGGAATGACTAATCGCATTTCCGGGAGACATTATTAGCATTTTTGCATTATTCATTTGTGTCAGGTGAAATGTAAAGCTTAAGGAATGTGGTTGGCTAAGCCAAAGCTAATGTCTGACATGATTGCTAAATTGAGTAAATTTTAGGACTGGATATTGCCAAACGCCTCAGCTACAGTACATTACCATGGATTATGGATCTGGATTGAAACTCCGCCTGTAGAATGAATCCAGCCAATGAATGAGACCATCACTCACTCATAACCCATGATGCATTGCAATGCCACATTACAAAGTTCTGAAAGACAGCTTCCATAAAGCTCAGAGCAGCCGAATGGCACCAGATAAAGTCAGTTGTCTATAGAGGTCGTAAAGTTATGTTCTTAAATATGTGTGGTACAGACTGGCCCCAAATCTCGCATTTTCTCCTGTCACTGCACCAGTCATTCTCTTTCTAATGCTTTCTCTGTGTCACTTGCTGTCAATCCTCTCTGTTTTATGTAGACCCGCTTTGTTTCACACTCGCTCTTCAGGAGAACAGGTCACAGGTTGCTGTAGGGTGTTTTGGTAGTTCTTTCTGAAATTCATTCAAAGATAGCAAAGGGTTTTCAATTTTGCAAGCTCCCATCTTATTT